AACTCCATGCAGGCGGTGTTCATGACCCGAACTTATTTGTGTCTATGTTTTATGTGATAGGACAGGTATTTTGTGAGATTAGACAAGGAAAGGTACATACAACAATCACAGATTTACAGAAGGGAACCTGCAGTGTGGTTGTCACTGAGTAAAAAAGGCAATGTAATGAGAAAATAGGAGCCCAGTGGTCAAACTGCAGTACTGCAGTCAAACTTCTCTTCACAATCAGAGTTCAACCTGACAGGTCCAGGTAGCCTGGTTAAGGATGACTCAGCCTTCCATCCTTCTGAGGTCAGTAAAATGAATACAGTACCTAGCTTATGCGGGGCGGGGGCAATGTATTCTTTGCATAATTATATCTGTGAAGATTTGCATAATTATGTTGTAAATTGCCCAGAGAGTGCTTAGCACTGTGGGGTGGTATGCAAATCCAGTCAATCAATCATCAGTCAATCTGCAAGCAAGGAAGGAAGGATTTAAGTCCCAGCCCTTGAAAAATATGAGAATTGTACCTTGCCAGCATCAAGAATAGCGGATGAAAAAAGGAGCAAACTTAAGAATTAAAATTGAAAACTTCCTACTCCATGGAGTAATATCCTAGCTCTACAAATAGAAAAGTCCTGGTTGCCTTATCTCCAAAGACATAGAACTGAGAAAGGTACAGAAACAGGCAGCCAAAATTATTAGGATGGTGATGCATTTTACTTATGAGGGAAAGCTGAAATATTTGGAACTTTTAAAGTGTTTCTTTCATTCCCTCCGTGTGGTAAAGGGTTTTTAAAATCATGAGGAGATGGATAGAGGTTTCCTCTTCCTTTCTTAATAATAGAGCTTAGCCTTTTCAAATGAAATTGATTGGCAGTGTGTTCAGAACAGACATTAGGTGGCATTTCTTCATACACAGAATATATAGGGTTGTATCTAGTACTGTCCCTTGCTGATGGAAAGTGCCTTGACTGAGTGGGGTCTTTTTTGGTGGAACGAAAAGGGAAGCACTGTTCACTAATTTCTCCCTCCCTTGCTTTGTCTCGAGTTTTCAAATCTGCTTCGAAGGGGGTGGGACAGTGTGAATGCAAGAATACTGAAGATTATTTTCTGCTTTTGGAACTGTCTGCTGTATGAAACACTCTTGCACCAGCAAAGGAATATCATTGAATGCCAGTCATAATGACTGTTAAATAGTGGATTCATAACTCCAAGTCGTAAATCAGCATGCCTTTATTCAGCATTCCCGGTCAACAAGATAAGGACAAGAATGCTTAGTAAAACACACATGCACATTTATACAACGCTTACACAAGGAACCACCCCACTCCCACTAATTACGTGCAGCTGGCCAACAACATAACAGCACAGGCAAAAACTGTTCCCAGTCCTATACTCACTACATAAGTAACAATGACCATAGAATTCCCTGTTGCAAAATATGGTCCTCACCCTCTCAGGTTAGAGAAAGGAATGTAAGATGGCACAGCCTGTAAATCAGAGAGCCTCCAGTCAATAATCTGGGGATTCCCTTTTGTGGTCTTGGGAGTGTTTTACATTCTGCTACCCTTCCTTTTTTGTAGGCATAGTGAATGATGGGACTGAATCTGGAGAAAACTCTATTTTTTCCTCACCGTATCCCAAACCATGTTCATTATTCCTTCCATGTGCTGGTGATATTGCAAAAATCCTGTCCCAGCTGGTGGATATATAACTCAAGAGTAGGATTGCTCTGTTAATCATTCTCTGTTAGTCTCTTCTACCAAATATATGCTGATGCCTTAAACTAAGCTGTCATGATTGGGGCATTTGTTCTCTTAGGTGAAAGATGTCATTCAGCACTGAAGTGTAAAATTAAATCATTTTCCTTTTGAATAAATCTTTAGAGGGCAGGGTATGATTTGCTCTCTGAGTTCTACCTATTTGCTGGGTGGAATAATTTACAGAGAACGCTAGTGACTATGGCTTTCTTTACCAATTCTGTAAGACATAGAGGAAAGCTAAAGGTGACCGTATCCTTCCTGTGATGGGCCTACATACTGCTGTTGCTGCCTACTGCTGCCTAAGTGATGTTGGCTCTTCTCCAGCTCATTTATTCCCTGATGCTAAGTTTTCCACTTTGGCTCAACTTTCCTTAGCATTCAAAGGCCATCTTAACTTTGTGCCTCTAGCACAGTAAATGCTGTACAGTGGCTAAAGTGGAAGGGACCTGACCCTCCTGGGAGAGCCTCTCTCTCTGGTTTTGTTGTGGCATATGAGTGAATGTGTTTGATAAAGAGGGCAGTGTTTGCTGATACTCTAGTTCACTTAAAAATAAAATAATAGGGACCTAGGAATCTGTGTAATTGCAGCTACCAAAAATAATGAACTATGGCATCTAACAGATGTGTGTGCTGCAGTGAATAAAAAACAAAAGTGTTGGGCAACTTAAAAAGTAACAAATTAATTTCACTGTGAGTTTTTCTGGATTCCAGCCCATTCTTCAGACAATATCTAGGGTCCAGGTTTATATGCAGTACACATGGTTGTTATTATGTGCCTTCAAGTCAGAACCAATTTATAGTGAACGTACAGTAATAGAATTTTCAAGGTAAGTGAAATATTTAAGGAGTGGTTTTACCAGGTCCATAGCTGTTTGGGAGTTTGAAGACCTAGTTCTACCCTGTCTACTACATCATACTGGGTAACTACATACACATCGTAAGGGGATGGAATTATGAGGTTCGCCTTTAATACTGAGCTTTTAAGATGACAGTGGCATTATCAAAGGTAGTGAACATTCAAGGTGTCAGTAACACTAAAGTTGTAGCAATCTTGGAAGTAGTTATATGCAAGTGAAGTGAATTTTCAGGATATGCATTGTACAATCATATATACATAAGACAAGAAAGGAAAAGAAAAAAAAGAAGAAAATGGTTAACAGTAAAGGTGCCATAATACTTTTGCTTTGTTTCTGCTTCATTCTTGTTTTTATGGTTGCCGAGGTTACATCTCTTAAATCTATCCATGTAAGATGGAAATATTCCCCTTTGGGAATATTTTGGATGGATAAGGTGTGGGAATCCAGAACTTGTAGTTCAAAAAAGTAACTTTTTCCATCTGTGCTATTACACTATAATTGCCTATTACTTAATTCCATATAGTGATGAATAGGCTGAAATAGACAGGTTCAAGCCTTGAAAGCTGGACAATAGAGAAAATAACAGAGGGGGAAGGGAAATGAAAAACAGCTGACAATGCATGCTGGTTGCATTATTTTTATTTTATTTATTTATTTATTTTATATCCCACCTATCTGGTCAATATGACCACTCTAGGCGGCATTACATGTACGTTAAGGTTGGTGACTACTAGTTTCAATTTGTCCAAGGTTTTCCCAAGGAAGTGGGGACGGCGGCGCTGCTTGTCTTCTTAGAACTGTCCATTTTGATATCATGAGATCATGAAGATGAAAAGGATACACTAAATGCCCTGCATGAAAAGTTGGGATCAAGGACTGGTTTGAATGAAAAGATGGTACCATAGATATCTGTAGTGTGGGAGTGCCAAACATTTGGACCAACAAGAGAGAATGGGTGGAACTCTTCTGATTAGTCGGGGGAATGAGCAGAGCAACTGTTTAATCCAATATTATCAGCACAGTTAGAGGAAGGCACCCCTGTCTCCCTTTCCATCATTACTTTTTTTCATGTGAGCCTTGGCAAGTATTAAGAGGAGAGGCTCCCACTCACATGTAGGCTTTCCACATGATCTAGAACCTGGAAAAATCTGGGTTCTTCCTGGTGTATGGCACCTACATGCAGCCAGAAACCTTTGCTCTTCAGATTTGTCACTGCAAGTATGAAGATAAATATATATATAAATGGTTTGGGTTTAGGTTGCTTCCCTCTCAACATTATGACAGCAATTTGATAATGACTGAGCAGAGCTTCTATCAAATAGGATGTGTAGATTGACCAACTTGCCACTTGTAAACAAAGCTGCCTCGCTTATCCTGGGTCAGGCTCTTGCTCCATCAAACCCAGAACATTTGAAACGAACTGGCAGTCTCATTCCAGATATTTTGGCAATAGGTTTTCATATCCCACATGGTGACACCAGGGACCTTTTACATTCAAAACAGAAAATCTATCACTGAGCAACATCTCTTGCTCTAGGAAATGTTTAGGAACAGACAAAGCTCTCATACACCTAGTCGGACCATTGATCCACCCAGCTTTGTACTTTTAGCTCTTCCTGGCTCTACAGGTTTTCAGGCGAGATTCTTGCCCACTCCTGCCTGGGGAGCCCTAGTTGTTTCCAGATAGTCTCCTTATCCAAGCAATAACCAGGTTGACTCTAGTTTCAAAAATCGCATGAGTTCAGTGTAGTGTGTTCAATACTGACGAAAATCCAGGAGTGTTGACTTATGCCATGTAAAGCTGATGACTTCATCAGTCATAACAATTATTTGGAAAGGAAACATTTTTGATCCTTCCTTTTGAAGGCCCTGAGACTCCCTTGGGATCTCTTTCATTGTGGGGAAACTGTTGGGTGCTGTGGAACACAGGGGAGTCTTTTAATTTCTGAGCATCAGCCACTACTGGGATAATTTTACACATGGCAACAATTTTCAGAAAATAAAGTCTTATCCTGACCTCAAATCTTTCAATGGGTGCCCCACAACAAAAGGGATGCCCAGGGAGCCTCTGGTGGTTGATGGCATTGTCAGACTTACATTATCTAAATTATGCTGCTGAATTTCAGCCAATGTAGGGTGGTGGCTTTGGTTTACTAATATAGCAGTTTGAAAAGTACACACTTGATTTTTATTTTATTTTAGGTTTTACCCATGCAATGTAATTATAATTTTAGGGTAGAACTCAGCAGGAGTTTGTGTGTGTGTTTGTGTATGTGCGCACACATGAATGTACAAGCACTACCATTCAGTAATAAGACATTGTTGTAGGCTATGTTTTTCTTTAAACCTTTGAAATGCAGACTTTTAATTTTGGATTTCCCCCCTCTTGCTTCAGCATAAACGAATAAATAGTGAAGATGATCACTTAAAGAGGATAGAGGAAGACAGATTACAACTGCACAATCAACTGCGATTTCTTCAGAATGAAAAGGAATCCATCCTCTCTATGATAGGAAGTGAAATTGATGCAGCATGCGAAGTCCTTTCTAGGGACTCAGTGGAGAAATTTACAGTAATTATGACTTCTCAATTGGCTTTTATTGTTATTTAACATACCAAATGAACACAGGATGTTTGTTGGTTTGTTTGTTTATGGCTCACTGATTGTAACTTTCTGTACAGTTTACAAAACATATGCAACTATAAAATACAGAAATAATAAAACATAATGCGAATATACCCAGGTGGGGATTCAAAGACAGTTAAGGGCCTTAGATGCTTACTGTTGTGTTGAGGAACATCAGGTAAATGACACCAAAATCAAAATTTTAGTTTTTGGGAAAGGAGAAAGAATTACAAATTGTACCTGAGTAAGAAAATATTTGAACAGACCAATTCATATAAATACCTTGGAGTAACATTCAAAAGTTCAGGAACATGGTCACACCACTTAGAATCTGTAGCTCTGTTAGAAGAAGCATCCATCGATGCCATTTATTGCTTCTCTTCTGTACCCGGCGAAAAAATGGTGGCACCACTAATGCAACCGTATAAAGATGAACTCCTTCCTCAAATGCTCCATGGAGCTCAAGTGTGGACTTTTTTGAATATTACAAAATTGGCATCTGTTCTGACACAAATTTTTAACCAGAGCAGTAGGGCTACCGAGGTCTACTGCCATGGCCACAGTCCACTCTGATACATCATGCTACTCTAGCAGATGTGCTATTTTGGTTAAGATAGTGTACAATGTGGCATCACCACTGGTCTCATTAGCCTATGAAGAAATGGAAAGAGACTCTTGAACAGCTAAGATGTCCACAATTATATCAAAGCTGGGTTACACCCCAGCCTACCTCCACAAGAGAGGATATGAAGCTGCTTGACAAGATAACATTAAAAGATTGATATTGATATCAGTATGATATTGATATCCACTCTACCATGGCATCTGTAGGTTATTGCTACTCCAACAGGATATGCAAAAACTTTTCCTTGCCTTTTGGAAAGCTGCCCCCATATTTGTCCCTTATTAGCGGAGACCACTATTAATTAAATGCAGACTGAACTTGTTACATTTGAAAGAAATTCAGGGACCTTACATGGACCAATATGGTACAGACAGACGTTGCCCAGCAGAATGCTCTGAATTCTCTAAAGTGGAGGACATAGTACATTATCTAGCAGAATGTCCTCTGTATGCAGATGTAAGGGACAAGTATTTTAATCCCTTAACAAGTGGGATCAAGAATACTTCCCCTTTATGTACAGTCCTATTCCTGCTACCTGGCACAGACTACTATATATTCTATAGGACCGCTAAATGTGTGAAATGAGCCATGGAAAGATGGAACGTATTGCCTAATTCACAAGTTATTCAAGTTAATCTTACATCTTGAATCATTTCTTGAAAATATAAAATGGAGGACAAGTTAAATCAGCTGCGGAATATAACTGGCCAACAGTTTTCTGTGGCCATTTTAATTTTATAAGCCATTTGACAAACAAATACCATCTCAAATGCCATCTTATCGCAACACTGTTGCAAATATCAATACACTACTCATCTTTAAAAATTCAAGGCAGAAGATCGATATTGACACATCTGTTGTGAGTTTTATTTATTATAGAAGACTCCTTGGTGAAGCATTTGGCAAATAAGATGGTATTTGAGAAACAAAAGAAGGCAAACCAGTTTTTAAACTAATGAAAGTTTGTGACCATTTTTTATTTTATTTTATTTTTGATTGATGGAATTGAAAAAGTGATCCTAGAGCTAACATTAATAAAAAAAAGTTTCATTTTCTGTAAAGGAAGCAACTATTGTCTCTTTCTGGGTAACTTCAGAAGAAGGGTTCATCATCTTTTAATAAGGGAACGCCAGAAGGAGATGGTGCCTCCAGTATATACTCAGTCTGGCTGGAAAGCTCAGTGGTTTAGGTACCTGGCTGCAGAGCCAGAATTTGGGAATTTGATTTCCCACTGTGCCTCCTACGAGTAGAGCCAGCCTTGGCCAAGTTGCACAATCACAGGGCACCCCAGAAGAAGTATTCTCTACCAGGAAAACTCTAAAAAGGTCACTATAAGTCAGAAATGACTTCACATCACATGAATATTATTATTATTAGTCTTCACCCAAGAACTCCTATGTGTAAGGTTTGTGCTCCACTTTTTGGCTCATAGGCAAGCCACATTAAGCCTCTTTGCATCTCAGCGAGCTGCAGTGTTACCACCATATTTTACTTTCCACTTGGTCTCCATCTTAGCAAGTGTGGCATTTTTTTTAAGCCAGTGTCACTAGTGGGTAACAAAGTTAGTGCTTCCTAAACAAGCACTGCCCTCAATCTAGTGTTTGTCCTCAATGACATCATGCAACTTAATTTTGTCACAGTTAGTAGGATGAAATAATAATGCTCTCTGTTTTCCAGACATAGTTGTGGGTGTCTTGGTTTTCTTGACTCCTGCCTTTTTGGCGAAATATTGCTAAGAATGTGAATCAAATAAATGTTTAAGTTTATGTACACTCTAATGAAAATGTCTTGTGTGAATGTAAATTTGAGTTTGTTTTTGCATTCATATAGGCAGTATCACTTACACCTGGAGTACAGAAAGACCCTCATCGCTGGTTAGCAGAAACAAAGGTCAGTGCATGTTGTTAAAAGATACAATTGTTTAAAATCGCCACAGTAAGGAGTGCGGGCGGAATAGTGATTAGAGGTTACCAGTCATAATGCAGTGCTATTCACATACCACTACCATGTCTCCTAGGCACAGTTAACAATGCCACCTACAGACTACAGTACTCCCAATCAGGATTGCAGGCTGTAAATTGCACCTCAGCAGGGTGCTGACCACGTGACCACAGAAACTGTCTTCAGACAAATGCTGGCTCTATGGCTTGGAAACGGGGATGAGCACTGCACCCTAGAGTTGGACACTACTGGACTAAATGTCAAGGAGAACCTTTACCTTTACCTAGGGTTCATGAAAACATGGGTGCAGACAGGTGTGTCTGTATTGGGCAAATAGTTAATGAAGGTTTGAAAAGGTCCTCATTAGAATTTCCATATACTTGGAAACATCTGATATATTATGCCTTTTAAACTTTGATTTCTCTTTTTCTAAAGGTATAATTGCTGACCAGTAACTTCTAACCATTCCTTTTTTACTTTAATGAATTTGGAATCTTATCTTGTATCTTTTAACATTATTATATATCTCATGATTTGGAAGACTTTCCTACTCTGTGTGACAAGACTTCTCCTCATAGTATATTAGGGTCAGAGTAAAGGGAGAGAAGCTGACCAAGTGAATTGCATTTGTTTGCTAGCAAGACTGCCTTGAATTTATTGATGTGCTAGTTCTGTAATGCACGTGGACCAAGAATAAATATCACCATAAATACTGAAGATAAGAGTTTGAATGGGAAGACAAGAGCTGCAAAGGAAACAGACTCTCTATTTAGATTGTTGATGCTGAAGTCCGAGGCAGCAAGTATCAAGAGGACCTTTCAGGGACCATTTCGTAATTGGTTCATAAATCTGCCATTTGGGTCCTTTTTGGTTAATAGTAGGTGAGTCTTGAAATGAAGGAGCCTTTAGAAATAGTATAGTTCTTCACATTTGCACCCGAAGACCAAACAGTTTTAATAATTGGTTTCAAGAAATATGGCCTTAGCTGCCAGTTCTTTCATCACCTGAATTTCTTTCATTTACAGATGGACACTTTGAAAAGCCCTGAGACTTTGAGATTTAGAGAGCTGCTTAGTGAGCTCCACAGGCACAGTACAGTGTTTAAAGCACACTTCTAGCAGACCTCAAGGAGACTGGGCAACTTTCTCCATTTAAGTATGAAGAGCCATATTGCTGGGAAAGGGAGGGAAAAAAAGAAGTAGGCTGGTCATGCATCCACTTGCAGAGAGATAAATCCTTTACACCCGTAGCCCCCAACCTTGGGCCTCCACATGTTCTTGGACTTCAACTCCCAGAAATCCTGGCCAGCAGAGGTGCTGAAGGCTTCTTTGAGTTGTAGGCCAAGAACATCTGGAGGCCCAAGGTTGGGGACCACTGCTTTACAGAGGGCATCCAGAGAACAGACCTTTTGAAGGCACCTTCAGTTTGAAGAGTGATCCAATCCAAGTCTCATGTAAATATAAAATTTCGAGGAGGAGATTGTGGAAGCTGTCTCCTCAGAAAACACTGGAAAAGCAAACTCAGCAGACAAACATCACAATCTCGTCAGTGAGCTTCATTGTAATTCTTTTCAAATTACAAATGTCAGTTCTAAAGTTGTGTCTGTCTGTACACATTAATACATGCTATTTTACATGTATGGTAATTTAGGGGATGAATGTCTTCTGCTTTGGTTATGTATAAGTGGCCAGCCTAAATACAGTGGTAATGACTGGAAGCATTTACACATTGTTAAAATATTTTAACAATATTCAGATATAAGGTTAAGATATTTTTAACAATATCAAAAAATAAAATATCCAAATAATTTTGGATCCTGGGCATGCACATTGTTTATTGTATTTTAACATCAGAGGTATATCAACAGCAGATGGAAGATAAAATGAAAACTGTAAAGGCCTAGCAAACGATTTGACTTTTAGCGAGCCTTTTGTGTATGCGTACACATGGTTGAAGGAAATTGAGAATTTTTGGTAATAATTTCAGTGGAACTATGATGTGTACCATCTGTATCTGTGCCTCTTCTAATCTGCTTGCAAGGTTGGTAGATGTAGACCCATGAAGCAGTTGTTCATCCATTAGGTACTCTTTCAAGATATCCGGGAGGTGAGATCAGTTACGTCTGTGCATCAGTTATACACAGGAGTATTTTTCTTCTTCATGGTCTCTGTGAATGCACACAATTGGGTTTGAAAGTAATATAGTCTCATCCTTTCATGAAGTATGTAAATTCCCTGGCAGCTGGATAGTGAATTATGGAGCGAGAGACTCACTCACTTGCTGTGAATCCAAAGAATCAATTGATTCTTGTTTTCCCCACACTTATTTCTGCTTTCCAACCCTTTGGAACATAAGGTCCCTACGTCATATTAAATTCTTTTTTGAATCCCCCCTCAAGAGTCACAAGCTTTTTCGCTTGTGTTACGAAGGACTGTTCAAGAAGCACAGGTTTCTTCCTTTAAAATGTACAGGACTCCATGTAGCTCTATGAATCCCGGCACATACAACTTTTCATTGCCTCTAATGATGAATTCAGCTACTGACTATTGTTAGGAGGACTGGAAAAAGATGCCATGGAAAATACAGAGAGGGTATTGTCATTTTTGGAAGTACCAACATTTTTTAGAAGTTCAAAAATCTTGAGGATGAAACCATGAGAGGACGATCTTCCTCCCTGCCCCTGCAAACCAGCATTGTAAAGACTGAACATTCTTGGTAAAATGGTGAATCCTGTAGATTTTTTTAAAAAAAACAGTTCTAGTAATGGAGTTCATGAGTGGAGTTCTTGGAAGATAGCATGGCTTGTTGGCTGCCTGCCTGAAACCCAGAACAGGAGTATTAAATATTGGAATATCAATGTTTTGAAACATACCCATATTTATGACTGCATATGGTTGGCTTCAACAATTTGATTTTTAGGAAGGCATTTTGTTTTTCTTCTGCTTTTGGGAGAAAGAAGCTAATGTCACTATTGCAGATATAGAAATTGGTTGTCCACACCAGCCAGCCACTCAAGTGCATACCAAGATGTCCTTCTAAAATTGCTGAACAGGAAATAGTTCTATTAAGGCAGTAAAAATGAACACATGTAGGAAAGTGGAAGTGGACACAAGGGGGTATCAGCAAGTTGTGCTCCAAAAATCTGGACATATGGCAACTTCTGTTTATACACATTCTAAGGTCTGAAGTGCACTTGGTGTGCAGGGATGTTGTGGATTTGCCCCTTCTCCCCTAATTTGAGTCCTCAAGTGTTGGCCACAGTTCCTAAGCTTTTCAGCAAGGAAATAAATACAAAGCAGAAGCCACATTTTGTAAGATGGAGATTTCAGATATAATTTGAACAGCTGAAAGGACTTAAGTGCATGGAAATATTTGTGGATTTTTTCTTTTATTTAAAAAACAAGCCTGACTCAAACCCACTAGGATTAGTACCATATGTCAATTTTATTCTAATGCAAAGTAAACATTTTCCCATAAACAGCTACCGATAGTAACATCTTTTGAGATCATCCTCCATTTTTGCATCTTTGTAATCATGCCCAAGTTGCAGAACTACAACTCACAATTTCAGAGTTAGAATTTTGTACCATTCCATTGGATATGTCACTGGAGACCGAGGGCAAGATCATCCATACTATGGTACTGTTATTGCTATGGATGGATTTGAAAACAAAAAAAAATTTTTTTTGAGAGAGAAAAAAATATTTGTTTGAAATATGGGGTTGGAGAAGAACTTTACAAATGCCATGGACTACTTGAAAGTCAAAGAAGTAGGTTCTATATCATATAAAGTGAGAACCATCTTTAGAAGCAAAAATGTGAAAATGAGGTTTTGTACCTTGACACATCAGGAGAAGACAAGTCTCACTGGAATAGACAATAATGCTAGGAAAACTTGAAGACAGCAAAGGCATTTAGTCTTTCACAAAAAAGTAAAGGAATAAATATTCGACTGATTTCCAGAAAGGAATCCACAGCCTTTAATTTGCAAGAACTGATCAGGTCTCTTAGTGATAAGACATTTCATGTGCTCACAGGGTCTCCATTAATTGGAGATTATGTGACAGCACATATGAGTAAGTAACAACAAAACAACAAGAGTGGGTGCTGCAGAGGCATCAGGTAGCAAGGGAGAAGAGAAAGAGGAAGATAATAAATGCAACAGGGATGGCCACAGGCACTGCAAAGATACTTGCTCGGCAAATATAAATGCCTTGTCCTGGGATAAAAAACAAAAAGACTATCATACTTTGGACATACCATGAAGACGAGACTCAGTGGAAAAGACAATAAATCTGGGATCAGTTGAAGATAACAGGGAGATGGATTGAATTAGCTCCTTCCCAAACATTTATACTGATGATATAAAAGTTCAAACATGTTATATTGTGATACCAAGTGTTCCTCCAGCATACTATGTTCATGGTATATAATAAAGAAGCCAGAGCTGGTTATCAATGTATCTCACTCTACATGTGACTCACAATTTTCAGCAATTAAAGCCTAGATCCAATAGCTAGTCTCAACTGGAGTAGACCTATATTCAATACATGGAACCAATGGAATGTTGACTGCTAGAGTGCCATGGATTGAGTGGGAATTTTCTTGTTGATACTGTTAGATTTCACTGTAACTCTTTCAAGGATGAAAAAAATATCAGTTGTGGGTAGGAATGGGACTTCTGGGGAAAAAGAGCTCCCAATCCCATATTTTGGCAGGAACCCCCCCCCAGGCCAAATTATGGGACTGAGGGCCACCAAATGGCAGAAGGAAGAGCAGATAGATGTCTTACCTCTATGCTGTTCTTCCACCATGCTTACTTCAACCCTGTGAGTCATGAGACTTCCTTGCCACTTAATAAGGGTGTGTGGAGAAACGAGTCCCTCCATATGGACCTGCTTCCTCATGCACACTTGCGAGGCACAGGTAAGCCCTACAACTTACAAAGGTTCAATGAACTGTCTTTTGGAGGCATGAAGAAATGGTGCAGAAATGACATGGAGGAAAAGAGAGCTGCCGTATCTCACACCATTTGATAGCTCCTTGTCCCAGAACTGGGCTGGGGATTCCTGCCAACTGATGAGGCTGAGATTTCTTCCCCCCCCCCTTGAATGTCCCATCCCTAGTAGTGGGTATAGCCGCTTACTCTTTTGGAGGTTAGGAGAAGTATATAGTATATAGCGCATTTCTGTAAGTGGAAGATGTTTTCCAATGTACAGAACGGCATATCTGAATCCCATCTAGGGTATCTGGAAATAACTTTTGGAGATGCGGAAATGTGCATATTTGCAGTGGAATTTCTTTGCTACTGAGCTGGATGTTGTGTTTTCAGTCACATATTTTCAAAGCAGCACCCAATAATGGAATAAATTGTGGTTGTTTCTGATGAGGTTTAGAGCTGTTCTTCCATTTTAGTTTTTCATAAGAAACAAGAAACCTACCATTTTCCCCGAAGCCCATTCTCTTTTAAACATTATCTGGAGTTTTATTAAACTTTGTTGCTTAAATGCACTGCAAAGAAGTAGCCTGCAGGTTTGAAAGGGCAAAATGGTTATTTATGTCAAAAGTGACAGTATTGACCATCATTTGGTGGAATGGATTTGGGACAGCAGCATTACCAAATGCAGGTTTTAGCCATGAGGAGAGAATCGAAAAAGTCAAATGAGAAATAAGACTTCAAAACATATCCATGGCTTTAGGGGTGGACTGGATATAATCCAGCACAGCTGTCTTATTGAATAACATACTTAGGAAACTCGTTGGGTCATACTGGGGTGCACACCCACAAAAAAATAAGAATGACATCTTTGTCCCTATGCTGCTCCACAGCAAAACATGCTAGTATAAATCATCATATGCCAAACATACTGTAAATGGTTATTATGAAACCTATTTCCAATGTTTTATAGTATAAATCATCATATGCCAAACATAAATGGTTATTATGAAACCTATTTCCAATGAAAAAGTATATCATTTGACTAGCATTGTCTCTCCTGAAGTACATCAAGGTAAAGATTCCCCTTGACATTTAGTCCAGCCGTATCCAACTCTAGGGCGCGGTGCTGATCCCCGTTTTCAAGCCATTGAGCCAGCGTTTTGTCCGAAGACAGTTTCTGTGGTCATGTGGCCAGCACGACTAGACACGGAATGCCATTACTTCCCACCGAGGTGGTTCCTATTTATCTACTCACATTTTACATGCTTTCGAACTGCTAGGTTGGCAGGAGCTGGGACAATCAACGGGAGCTCACTCCATCGCATGGATTTGATCTTATGGCTGCTGGTCTTCTGACCTTGCAGCACAGAGGTTGCTGTGGTGTAACCCGCAATGCCACCACGTCCCTGAAGTACATCAAGAGGTGCTAGCAAATACTGAATGAAATAAAGTGGTACAGTACCAAACCCATCTACTTCATGATGACAGTTAATATTGAGGAAAAGTCACAAATTGTGTACTAAAGCTCCTTCCCTGTTAGGATTATGTAAATTTATTTTCTTCTAGACTAAACTCAGATGGCTATGTGAAGAAGTAAAGGAGAGAGAGGTTAAGGAAAAGAAACTCCGACATCACTTGCAACAGAGTCGAGAGCGGCTGAAGCAGCTGACTTTGAGCAAGGAGACTGAGCACCAGCATCTCATTGGTCAAATAGAAAAGCAGGAACAGCTCCTGGATCAAGTTTACCAGGAGAAGAAAGGTGAGTTTATTCCATTGTATTCATTAAAAACAAAATCCTTCCAATTTCCCTGGTCGCTCCAACTGTAATATGTCTAAGAGGCAGAACAAAAGTGGCCAGAGCAGTACATTATCAGGAAGGGGACTGCTGTGTGCAATAGCAGCTCCATGTCAATGCATCATACAACTTCATTTGTGTCCTGATGCCATTACACTGAATGTTTCCCCCTAACATGCTTCCACAGCTGGTGATAAGCAACAATGATGGGTAGAACACCACTGTAATGATGTCAGAACATAAGGAAAGATAAACTGCATGTTATGAAGGTGGACATGGACTCCAAGCTACAGGAAGCCAAATTTTGGCTGAATATCAGGAAAAAACTTCTTAACTGTTAGAGCACTACAACAATGGAACCAATTATTTCGGGAGTTGGTAAGTGCTCCGGTGCTGGAAGCATTCAAGAGAAAATTGGACAACCATCTATCAGATCTGCTTTGATTTGGATTCCTGCATTGAGGGGGGGGGGATGGACTGAATGCTGTTATAGGCACCTGCAAAATCAACTATTCTACGATTTTGTGAGATTCCTTCAGTTTCTGAAGAAGCTACTTTTCTGTACTGCAATTCTTAGCATTGTCTGTGGTAATGTGGGAATTTTGAAAGGTACCGTCTAAAGGAAGCTTTCCCTGTCTCAGTACCTTGGCAAGAAACTGCACTTTTTATGGTAACACAAGGAACAATACTGCTTAAATTGTTTTCTGCAGAACACACAAAGAGAAAAACCCCAAAGCAGTTAAGTACAGAAAATGTCCTGGAATCTTTTTATGGTGTTTAATGATGTCTATTTATGAGAGTTCTCTTCTCCAAATTAAGTTACAGTCCTCTAGGAAATAAGATTTGTGCCAGTTAAAATGAATTGTGATCAGCTGTATATGGGGTAAAGGCTGAACTATCAAAAAATATTTTTAAGCTGCTGTGTAGTTTTTGGGAAAAATAGGACTTTAGACAGTTGTTAGAAAGAGGTAGGAGTCTTGTTATGTAAATATCTTGATTATATAGCACAATATATTAGCAACATCCTTTTTTCCTTCAGGGTTTTGCAATATGATTTTGGTTTCCTGCGTTCTCAGCTTCATGCTTTTCCACGTTTGCTCACAAATATTACAGTAATATCCCCATGGAGTTTTAAAACTCCTTTCACAGCTAAGTTTTCCCATGTTTTAGCTTATTTCAACACTCTATTTTATATTCTTTAAGTATCTGTTTAACAAACAAGTTGTTTTCCACTGGATTAGGGTTTTTTGAACAAGCTTTCTGTTCTTCTTGAGCAAGCTTTCTATTCTATTATTTTACTTTTTATATGTGCCGGAATTATATCAAAGAGAGTGTCACAGAAAACAAGATTTCTTTGCATTTATACATTATATTTTCATGTGAACAAAAAATTCATTGGCCTGAATTCTATTGGTGATTTGTTATTGTTGTTGTTTAGTTGTTGTTTAGTCATTAAGTCATGTCCATCTCTTCGTGACCTCATGGACCAGAGCACGACAGGCCCTGCTTTCTTCCACTGCCTCCCAGAGTTTGGTCAAATTCACGTTGTTAGCTTCGATAACACTGTCCAACCATCGCCTCCTCTGTCATCCACTTCTCCTTTTGCCTCCACTCTTTCCCAACATTAGGGTCTTTTCCATGGAGAGTTCTCTTCTCATGAGATGGCCAAAGTATTGGAGCCACAGCTTCATGATCTGTCCTTCCAGTGAAGACTCAAGGTTGATTTCCTTCAGAATGTATAGGTTTGATCTCCTTGCAGTCCAGGGGACTATGAAGAGTCTCCTCCAGCACCACAATTTAAAAGCATCAATTCTTCAGCGCTCAGCCTTCTATATGGTCCAGTTCTCATTTCCATACACTACTGGAAAAACCATAGCTTTGATTATGCGGACCTTTGTAGGCAAGGTGATGTCTCTGCTTTTTAAGATGCTGTCTAGGTTTGTCATCGCTTTCCTCCCAAGAAGTAGGTGTCTTTTAATTTTGTAGCTTCTGTCACCATCTGCAGTGGTCATGGAGCCCAAGAAAGTAAAATCTGTCACTACCTCCATATCTTCTCCTTCTATTTGCCAGGAGGTGATGGGACTCCACTGGCCATATTGTTAAACAAGCTTTCTAAGGCCCAATCTCTGATTTTTCCCTTTCTATTATTTTCCTCTATTTCTTTGTACAGTGGTGCCTCGCTTAACGTTCGCGCCCTGCCCTCGCTTAGCGAGGGCGCGAAAATGGCTGCCGGCAAGGGGAATCCTCGCTGAACGGGTAAGTAAGCAAGGTATTGGAACACATTAAACTAAGTTTAATGCGTTTCAATACGTTTCCCCTACCCGTTTAGCGATGATTCCGTATAGCGAGGGTTAATCCGGAACGGATTAACCTCGCTATGCGGGGCACCACTGTACTGTTCATTTAAGAAGGCCCTCTTGTCTCTCCTTGCTATTCTTTGGAAGCCAGCATTCAATTTTCTGTAACTTTCCCTATCTCCCTTGCATTTTGTTTCCCTTCTCTTCTCCGCTATTTGTAAGGCCTCGTTGGACAGCCACTTTGCTTTCTTTCATTTCCTCAAAAGTGTGGACAGCCACAATAAAGAAGTCTAATATTGCTGGAACCTGTGAACTTAGGGAATGCAGAGCAAAGCAATGGAAGCAGTAACACCCCAGCATTATGGTAATGGAAAACTGGGAAACAAAGAAGGGAAAGGCAGAAGCAAGATCTTTCAAGCTATCAAGCTTCCTTCAGGTTACCAAGTTAAATATCTTGCTTCCCATAGTGGCCAACCAGATGGCTCTTGGAGGGCCATAAGGATCCTGTGGGGGGAAAGCAACCTTTCACTGTTATGGTCCATTTTCTGTCATGTGACCATAGAGCTGTGGAGCTAGAAAGAACCCAAAGGGCCATTGTCCAACCCCCTGACAAAGTGGGAAATCCACAGGTAGAGCATCCCTGATAGATGACCATCCAATATCTGTTCCAAAAGTTCTTATGAAGGACAGTTCACCTTGTGGCACTTTCCTCTACTCAGTTGTGTGCCACAACTGGTAACAACTATCCCCAAACTCCTTCACTAAATTTGCAGTTGCACGTGAACTTGGTAGAGGGGCTCCTTCCCCCTGGAATATCCCTTTTACCAAACCAGGCAAATAGTTGGAGTTCCCATTCCACTGTTGCTCAGAAACTGCCACAGCTAGTAGGTGAATTTACACCGCCTTTTTAAAAAAAGAATACTTTTGGTGAAGCACATACAGCCTATGTTATTTGGTGATGCAGCCTTGACTTTTATGGTTCCACTTCTGGCCAATGATATGTGTGGTATAGTATCTTGTGACTGCTATTTTTAAATATAATAAACAGGATTTCTGAGCCAAATTTATTTTAAAAAAGAATAAAAGGGTTCAATATTACAAGCTGTTAAATTCTCCTCATATAGCTGAAATCTCATTTTCTTTACATCTGTTTTTCCCTATAGCTTAAATATAGATTTTCTTATTTATAAATAGATGGGAGCTTGGTCTTGCACAAACTCAAATGAAACACTATATTTCCACAGCTTCTTCACAAAAATGACACCCTCACATTACTCTTTACCTCACTGCTCTCATCTTTTCTCCTCACTATTTTCAATCTCTCTCAGGGTCTCAGACTGACTACACTCAAACAGCCTCAAAATTAAACTCGTATCTTAGCTCATTCTGTCTAAATCAAACTTCACTAAAAGCTAAATTAAACTAAACTGAATTAAACTGCTCTCTTTCAAACACACACTCCTCACACACATATTAAGAAACTTCCATCCTTTATGTATGCCCTTCTCTTTAAGCAATCACCAAGTATTTCCTTAAACATATGAAAATCTGCTTTTTAAAAAAGTCCAGAGACATGTTTTATTACTCCATTTCCTCAGTATAACAAATCTCAAGAGGGCATGGTCACTTCCATCCAAAGTTTAAACTATTCCATCCGATTAGAGTCAGATCCAGAATAGTTGATCCTCTAGTGCTGTGGTTCCCACCCTTGGGTCCCCAGATGTTCTTGAACTACAACTCCCAGAAATCCTGGCCAGCACAGCTAGTAGTGAAGGCTTCTGGGAGTTGCAGTCCAATAACATCTGGGAATCCGAGGTTGGGAACCGTTGCTCTATTGTCTTCTTCCACATTCTGGAATATGAAGTTGTCAGCAAGCCAGTAGGAACATAAGAACTCTGCTAGAGGAACAACAACAACAAATGGCTTGTCCTGTCTAGCATTCTATTCCCACATTGGCAAACCAGATGCCCATGGGAAAGGCAGAAGCAGGACATGAATGAATATAAGTCCCTAGCATCTGGTATTCAGATTCATACTGCCTCTAATTGCAGAAGCAATATATACCTATCAAGAGTGGAAAGATGGCCACATTAGTCTCTAGTCTCTTGTATGGAGTCTTAGATAATCTTAAAGATTTGCCAAGTTTTATTTAGCATAACAGTTCATAGATTTTAGCTCACCAGATGCAGAAAAAGGCATAAAAGGTGTTAGTATTTTAACAGTCCTTTTTGCTTTTGCTCCATCATAACTTGAATGGAGGTGGATTTTCATGGAGATTATTTTCATTATGGAGGTTATGAAAATCCAAAACTTCAAAGTACATTCTGGCTAAAATTTAAGATTACCCTTCTTGTTATTATTACTGTTACAGTACCATCTAAGGATAACAGAGGATGGAGGTGATGATGGTACAGGTAAGCAGCTGAAGAGTATGTGCTACCTTCTGTTGTATATGCTTTGGTTTTTATAAGATACAATGCACAGATGCAAATACAAACATGCAAAATATATTATTTATATTCTCCTTTGTGCTTCATATAAATTACTTTGTGTTAATTTGCATATACATCTTATTATCTCATCCATTCTTCAGTCTGTCTTTTTAAAAATCCTACTGAGATATAAGACAAACAGACTTGTAGCTGTTCCTATGAATTATCTGCAGTA